AGATTTGCGCAGCATCTACTGCACTCTATATCTTCCCTCACGCGTCTGGGCCCGGTGTCAAGTGGCGGAAGACAATGGAAGAGTAGAAGCATACACACGAGAGTTCGGCGACGAGGTCCACCGTGGTCCCCACAGAAATGTGGGCGCAGGGGCGGTGACTAGCAGATGAATAAGTTTTAAGTAAGAATATATTTGCGAGGCCTTAACCATAGTTCAAATAAAGGAATTGGCGATACCAGAGTACAGGAATTTTAAAGTTCAAATTTGTAATTAATTGCCGGCGCTCGTCTATGAACCTTAGACTTTTCCGCTTACGGTCGTTATACCATTTTCCGTTAAGGATTCAAATCCTCAACCTTTTCGCCAGAGGTCATAACACCGGAAAGCTCGGACAACAGCAGGCGTTCTTCAATCCGATGACCGACCATTGTTTTAAATGCATACGTGGCTGCGTGTACTTCATTAGTATACACAATCACCGGGGAATAGGCGCAAATGTGTACACGTGCTTCAAGAAGTTTCTTAGTGTATCGGATTTTCAAAAGATGGCGCAATTTTAATTTACACCCAAATACCCTACTTTTGGTCCAACAGTTAACCAGGAGCACATTCGCTGCTACATGAAGAAAAAGTGTCTCAAATACCAATATTACTCACTCCTAGCGCTAACAACGTACGATTAATCGTGATCACGGCTTTCGAGCAGTCTGAACCAGTGCGCACGCAGCCTTGAAAATAGCCAATCACAGCCAGTCAACCAATCAGAGTGGGGTTTTAGTGACGCTCCCATGGTGCTCATTCACACGTCCTAATTGTCCCGAGCGTGCAGACACAAAGCCGACTGCGCGAATTTCCGTTTATCGTACAGTACACTCACAACGGTCTTTCCGCTTTTCCGATGAAGCGGATCTAAAAACCAGGTTTATAGTAGTGCTCTGGGTAACTGATTAAACGCTACAAAGGTCCTACGGCTGACTGATAATTTATTATTGAACCGTAGGCCTCATTCTCTATTCCTATTCCAAGGGCACAGCCACCATCAAAGTCGGCCAGTGGACGCTTCCGCTGGTATATTCAATGTCTTCGTCTACGCGTACTACGTGCATGACCTTGTATCCTGAATATAAGCACAATGATGTCACACAAAACGGGGCTAACTCACATGTGCAAGAGCTTCAGAGGTCACAATAAAAAGGAGTCATTGCAGTCTGACCCTCAGTTCACCAGTCGGCACTCCGCACAAAAAACCTTGGAGTGATTGACTGTGTAAATGTCCACCGGGCCTGTACAGTCATGAACACCTCAATGGACATGAATGCATGACTACAAGTATAACAGATCGAGATCGTCCATTTGACTGACAAGTAGTCAGTCTTCTTCGCATGTATTACCACCCGAAATCCGACAGTTAGGGCAACTTTAATGTTCTCTAGTGGCACAGAGAACACCTTTTTCTTCTTCTTTTTCTTATTATTCGTCTTCGTTCACTGCTTATCCTCCTCTGAATCTCCCGTCCTTAGCTTTTCCAATTTGTTTTCGTGCTGAGGTCATTAGTTTGTAAACCTACGAACGTTCAGATCTCTCACCGCCCCACATCGGTTAATACTGTAACTCGAGTTTCCTTTTCAGCACCAGATATCATTTCTGCGAGGAACCAAACCTGTTAGGACAGTCTACAGTGCAGGTGTACACACCAGTGGCGCGCCTAATCCCTCAACTCATTTCTTCTTTAGAAACTTTCGGAGGCGCTGGCTGAGCTTACCTTTCACCCGCTTGCGGAATCGTCTTTGGACTTCATCCTAAAACTGATTGGTCTCAAGTTCAGTCGACTTCCACCCATAGACTCTGAGTACTGGAAAGGAATCAGTGCCGTCACCGATCGCCTCCTCTTTTCTAGGCTCTTGTAAGTTTTACCTCACTCCCCCTCACTTACCCCCCTGTTTTTGCCGAGGGTGTTGGCGACTGACATGATGAATCCTTCGGTAAACTTTAAGTTGCTCGCCAAAGTTAGATAAATATACTTCAATAACTACTATATGAATTTTAGTAGGCGTAGTTATGCCTATTTACTTGGGTAAGGAAGAAAGCGACAAAACACCTGTTTGTTGCTGCTTCTTATCTCTGACGATGGACTCCTGTAAGAGTTCGAAAGCTCAGGAGAATAAACAAACCGATCCGGTGCTCGACCAGCCTCCTTCCTTACCCATGCAAATACCTAGAACGCGAACGTTCTCCTTCATTCGTGCTTATTTACTGTACAGAATCTATTAGCCGCTTTGACTATTTATTTCAACACCGCACGGAAACCTTTACCGTCCTGCGGTAACTTTTAGCTTTATCAGCTTTCGTTTAGTTTAGTTAGTTTGGTTGAGTTTAATTTAGTTATACCGTAGTTTAGCTTCGGATTAGTTTAGTTTCAGTTTATTTAAGCTTTAACTTTATTATTTTGTTTTATTTTTTGCTTTTAGTTAAGTTAGTTTAGTTTAAATTTAGTTCAGTTTAAGCTTGGTTTAGCTTTTAGTTAAGTTTACTTTTAGTTTAAGATAGTTTTTTAGTTTAGTTTTACTTTATTCATGATTTTTTAGCGATGTGTAGTTGATTTTAGGCTTATCGTACTAAAAAATCTGTCTAAATGCACTAGAAGCAATTGCGAGTTGTAAAAATGGAGAAAAAGCGTTTATTTCATGGTTTAACTTTAATCTCTAAAATTGCACGTACAGTCAATATAAGATTTTATCCAATTCGCGGGTACTATTTGCGCAGTTTTTGTTTCCTACTGGCTTTATTTCTCAGTTTACTTATCGCACACCAAATATTAGATCATTTAAATAATTATTCCTACTATTTCCTACTTTTATACACTCTGCTTTTTATTTATTTCTCCTCTCCTCTGATAGGATCCTACCCATATAACTCCAATTACCACCGGTCCCGCAAGACAGAATTCTGGGGCTAGGAGTATCTAACGTGGGCGACCAACTTAACGCTTACGCATGCTTTTCTGATTTTTGTAGACAACGGGATGGCAAAACTCTGACCGAAAAAGGAACCCTAGAAATGGCCGACTTTTCGACTGCATACAGACAGCTTGAGCACCTGCGTCTTAATTCCAAACTTACCGCTATGCTTCGCATCCTATAGACAAAAAAATAGACCACGATGGCCTTAGAAAAATATTTTTTCTGTTTATTATGGTTGTAAAAGCATTAAAACGCACGATAGACGGGGAAAGCAATCACTCGACTTCTGTTTTTAAGATTTAATGTAGGAAGGGCAATAGTAACAAATTCCTTAATTTGCGAAAAGTTCCATTGAAAATTTCAAAAGATAAATTGGCGAACCTGCGTTTGCTTTCAATAAATCCTTTTCAGATCTGTACATTTATATAGTAATCAACTAAATAAACAATGCGCGTAGAAGGAAGTAGGGCTGTTTTCAAGGACGATGGGGGGAATTGAGGTCAACAAGTCAGCGTCAAGGGGCCTGGCACCCGAGACAAGTGGTTAGCTGCGGGCGGTTGGATTAGGGACTTGCGGCCATGGTAACTGCAGCGCCGTTACCGGTGTGCGCACAGTTTACTTAATTAATTACCATTTAACTGTACAGGCCTGAGAAGAATCTATCGAAACCAAACCCATGGTCGCCAACTAATCTTTTGAAATTCTTAAATCTTTCCCTTGACACCACAGCGAGCCACAAAGGCACGCTCGAGTCTCCAATATGAACGACTTTCTGGAGTCAATTTTGATGTTTCTGCAAGAAAGAAGTGGTCGAAATGGCGATAGGGACGCTGAAGCGTCTTGACGTCAAACGCTCTAATTTTTGTTGGAATTTGCAAGAAACCCCGCACGAGGAACTGTTCCTCGATACTGTAGATAGTCGCATGCGTTTCAGCAAACTGCCCTACAGTGTTGATCAGAAGTCAAACGCTGTAATCCAGGGACTTAATTACCAACAGGTTGTGGGTTTGAGGTTTGAGCGGTGCACCACCTGGGGTTAGGTCTGACTGGCTGATGACGGCTATTGAACCAGAAAGGGACAGTCCAGTCTCCCCTGTCTTTGTCGGCAATACCGTCTGCCTACACTACTAGCCACTGTGCGGCTGCTGGCGGGGGTCGAGTATGGGCACCAAGGCCCAAGGGTTGAATGCCTTCCGTTAGCGGTCGATTAACATTCATTAACAAGTGCGAATATGTCCCGAGCTAAATCAGCAAGACTGTAGCGGTCCTGTCTGTCCGACGCCCTCCTAAGTCTTGACGCCCCAGACGAGGTCACTCAGA